TATTGCGCCCGCAATTTTTAAATATTCCATTAACAAGTGTCTTTTACGTGACGAGAGCAATCGCTACCGCTTCATGCCAAGGCCTGGTTTCTGTTAATATCCTATATGTTGTTAACACATAATAAAAGCTTCTAACTAAAAATTATTTTAACAAGAAATCTCGAATAGAATATGAAAAATGCGATACCATTTTTTTAAATGGAAACAAAAGAATTTTAATCTTCTAAAGTTCTCTTATTACAACGACTTATCCAGGTCGATTTTGATACCAGTATACCGGTATGGGCCACCTAATTTCTGTCCAAACTGAATTTAAAATAATTTTATATTAGCACCAAGTTTATCATAAAAATATTAAGATAAAACAATTTTTTTTTTACTCATTGTTTTGCTGTTTTGTGAATTATAAAGATTTAGTAAACATATTAATATAATCATAGTTGTTAAAATATAATCAAAATATATTGCAAATATTATGACTAAATAAATAAATAAAATATAAACAGAAAAACACTGAGAAAATCAAAACAAAACAAGTTACAACAAACATTACGATTAAAACAAAAAATTATGCAAAAAAAAAAAACAAACAACAACAAGAAAACAACTTAAGATTAAAAAAATAATAATAATAGAAAACGATAGAATAAAACATATAATAAATGGCTAAAATGAAAATAAAAACACAGGCCTTGTGATGAATAAAAACTGCGCGACGCATAAGCACAACGTGATTTTTGACGTCATTAAATTCTTTTTATTTGCTTTTCATATTTATCGACATAAACTGCACCAATTTACTTAATTACCGCAAAACTACTTTAAATCATTAATGTAGAAATGTTATTATTTTAAAATGTTTTGGAATGTTTCATTTTTTAAAATGTAAAAACATTTGTTTATTTTCTCGACGTTTGACACGTTTTGTCTATACTAAAAGAATAAAAAAACATAACTAAACATTTAAAAAAGATAAAATATGCTAATATTTGATTTTTTTTCTTCTCAAATATGTAATTTAAAGTTTTTCAAATAATTATTTTTTCTTTTTAAAAAGTCAGCGAGTAATAAACTGGAAATTTTAATATTGTACGATTAAAAACTGTGCTATAGCTAATATTTTTACCAGCGATTTTGTATAATATTTTTTTATTTATTTATTTTTATTTATTTTCATAAAGCGGTTGATAAGCACAATCACTCATTTTACTAAAAAACTTTAACGAACGTTTTGAATAGATTTTTAATGTTTACAAGGAATTTTATTTCTAGTAAAATAAAATAAAATGCTAGAATAAAAATCTTATAGTAGGTACGTGCGTATCCAATGAGTTACGGCACCGATTACATAATCAAAATCTTTGACTATTTTATCAAAGCGTGCTTAGCATTTGAGTTGTAAGAATGTATTTTGTTGTGTTATTTTTTAGGATTTTATATCAGCATAGACTTTTTTTGAAAAGTGGAAGAGTTAAAATTCTTTTTTAAATAGTTTTTTTTTTTGAAGTTACAACCGCTTTTATTGAATTTACTTTTCTTAAAAATTTCGTTGTTGATCACACGTCAAATTAATATTGGAAGAATGTTGAGAACATTTTTGAAACTATTGAGAAAAATTTAAAAACTTATTTTCTAAATACATGCCAAATTTAATCAAAAAAGGTTATGTAGCAGACACCTAATTTTTTGTAGCAGAATATGTACCTAAGTTAAAATATTGTAAATAAAGCAAAATATTGCGCTTCTATCAACAAAGTTCCATAACAAAACTACCGTTAGCTGAAACTGATAATTTAAAACTGGTCGCAGTTTTTTTAAGCAATCCTTGTAATCAAATTTTGTTACTTAAATGAGCATAACTGTTTGTAGAATTGTTGTTCTGTTATGAAATTTTCATTATTGTAATGCTGATTTTAGCCTCTTTTTAATGAGAAAACATTACGTGGTTAAATATGAGAATTAATTTTATTTTATAAATAAATGGCTTATGATTACAGGTTGCAAATTAATTTTTATTTTATTTTTTACGTTTATTGAGCCCTTTTCAGGGTGTTTTTGGAAATTCGCTTTACAACGGTAGAAACCGGGTAACAAAACCAGGTTATATAAACTTATCAAACTATTGACGTTCTATTTTTCAGCAGCTGTTCTTGAGCACGCTTCATTGAGTTTCGGTAACTTTTAACAAAAAAGCGATTGTTATTAAGTAATTTTTTTTGAGTTTCTTTTTACAAAAATTTTAATAACTGTACTTTTTTATTGAATCAAGTAGAATACGTTTTAATATTAATCCTTTTATTTGTTTTTTTATTTGCACTTGCCAATTTTTAAAATATTTCCTCGATATTACTCTTAAATACTTTAAATACGTCTAACAGTTAATAAATATTTTTAAATCTATGGAATAATTTTAAAACCTAACAAACCCCCGTAAAATAATTAAGTTAAAAATCTCAAACTAAAAGAAAATATTTTTGTTCAATTTTATCGACAACTTTGCTATTGCTGAATAATTTTATTAAAATGTTAGCTTAAAAAGATTTAAACTTTTTTTTTAATCTGAATTTTTTCTACTTGTAAATAATGAGCATGTTTAATTTTTTTGTAATTCAAACTTTTATCAACTGCGTGCGGTTTTTAAAATATTTTATTAAATGTTAAAATAATCGTAAATTACTTCATTAAAATTCCGCTCAAAAATATCTTTAAATATACTCAAACAAAAAATTTTTTTGCTCGACGCAAATAGCCCTAGCTACACGAAAAATTGCTCTTGGACGACGTAAAATTCACATCGCCCGACGCTTCATCGCAAGGCCTGAAAACAAATAATATATAACTGTATAAAAAGTTTATATACCACTAAAAATAAATAATAACTAAAAAACAAACAAATGACTAATAAAAAATAATAAGTAAAACTATATACGTTAAAAAATTGAAGAAAAATGAATAAATAATAAAATAAATAATCCTAAAAAATATATGAAAGAAAACTAAAGAAATATATGAATAAATAAATAAAAATCTTTTGAATTTGCACGATTTGCCGAGGTTCCGCTCTTTAAAAAATTTTTTTTATTTCTTTGCCATTCTTTTTATATATTTCATTCATTAGCATTTTTTTTTAACTTCTATTTTTATTACTTTTTTGCTTATTTTCTTTCAGATATTTTTTTTTCTTTTCATCTTTTAAAAAATTTATTTATTCTTCTTTTTTGTTGATTTCATTTTTAGTTTAATTTGAATATGTTTTCTTTTCCCTTTTCCTTTTTTCCTTTTAAAAAGTTATTTTCAACCTTTAGAAAAAAGCGTCCTCCATTTGCAATGTCATTGCAAAGATGATTTTCCAAAGTAGAAACATTCTATTGCAAACGATAAACCAAAAATTAAATTATGAAAAATTCAAATTAAAAAAATAAATTATGTCCTTCTACTTAAAAAAATAAATTAGACATATACTTAAGGAAATATTTATCAAACCAAATTTTTTTTTTTTTATATTAAACAATTTTTTTCAATTTATTAAACCAAACTTTTTTTCATTCACTTTTTATTGCAAAACAGTTTGAATGAAAAATTTGAGTAAAAACATCAACTTGAAAACTGTTTGAATGAAAATGAAAAAGTTAATTATACTTAAATTTTTAATAGTATACTAGGTCAAGGAACAATAAGTTATAAATCATGTGGTATCAAATGTGTTTTTTTTTTGTTTGGTTTGTTAAGAATATTGACTCGTATGGTCTATAGGTTTTTGCGCAAATATGAAGTTTAAAGTTTTGTGACAATATTTTTTTAATTTAGTTGTATAATAATTAAAACAATTCTTTTTTTTTAGAATTTTTTTTTCAGGATTAGATTTTTTTGTTTTAATATGAGCCCTGTATATATAGCCTATACCCCTCAGAATTAGGGTCAGCCTAAATGCCGACCTGACAGGGTATGATGTCAGCAATTTTTTGCTGAATTTAAAGTTTTAAAACTTAATTTTGTTTATTATTTCAATTAAATTAAAAACACCATTTTAAAATAAAAAAGAATATTTTATTTGAATTCTAAATAAAATAATAAAAATAAAAATGAATGTTTTATTTAAATACTAAATAAATTAGTTAAAAAATGAAAATGGAAAAAAGAACGTTTTGATTAAATTCTAATAAAATTAAAGTAAAAACGGAAAAATGTTTTAGAATGTAGAATTTAAATTCTAAACAAAATACTTATAATAACAATGGAAAAAAAAAACATTTTTTGAAAATTCCTAATAAAATAATTTAAAGAAAATGTAAAAATATACTAAGCGTTAGCGTGTTTGTTGATTTGTTGAACTCTGTTTCAAAGTTTTGTGCCAATCTTAAATTGTTTTAGGTTGGCAAAAAATTGCAGATCTAAAACAGTCTTTCTCTCAAGCCTCACCAAATGGTGAATTTTTTATACACATACACACACGCACGCACACATACACACATATATTTTTTTATTCAAAATAATTACATTTTCGGAGTTTAATCCTATTTTAATAATTTACCAAATATGGTTTATATAAAAGTTTTTAGTCCTTGGCCTTGGCCTTGCCTTAAAATCAAAAATTGAGGCCTTGGCCTTAATTGTTTTGGCTTTAACTTTAAAAAAAAATACAAATTTTCTTATTGATTTTGTTGAATTCTGAGCATAACCTTGGTCTATTTTTACAAAATGTGGTTTTATTGTCACAGCATTTGCTACTTACAGTTTTGTTAATAATTGCCCTTAATGTAAGGCAAAAATTAAAGTCTTTGGTCTTGAAAGTGTTTGCGTAGGCCTTGGCCTTGACCTTAAATCTCTTGTCCTTGTCGTTGTCCTTGCAACTATTGGCCATGGTCTTGGACTTGTAATGTGTGGCTTTGGCCTTGCTATTTTTGCCTTGTTAACAATTCTGGTTTATATTTTATTTGTTTTTATTTTACTTTTGTTCAACTTAAACAGATAACATAATTTATTCCATTTTTAAATTTTAGTCTGGTAGTTTGCTTGAAGCTTTAGAGTCATTGATGGCTTTAGAAAAACTCACTAGAACGGTTAGCTTTTATTGTCTTTAATTTATGGGGAAAACATAAATAAAGTGTTTTCTTTATTTTACTGTATTATTTTGTTATACATTTTTATAAGTTATTTTGTTTTTTATTATTATTAATTGTTTTTTCTGTACTATTTTTTTAAAGGCAGCTGATATGTTTTCAACAAGTCGAATTCTAGTGGCTATACTTCAAATGTGCTTCTTTAATAATAATTTTGAACTTTTAAATGAGCAAATCATCAATCTGACAAAAAAAAGAGGACAATTAAAACAAGTAATTTTTTTAAATTAATAGAAATGTATATTGAATTTAAAAATGTTATTGTAAAACTAAGATATGAGAAAGTATAATTTTTGAAATTCTCATACAAGGATAAAGATTTGAATACTAGGCAAAATAAAAATATATTTTCGTTTTAAACCAAATATCCTATGCAGAATAATTTTCCTCATAATTGCTAGAATAAATAGAAAGGCTATGAAGCATAAAATTTTATAACTTTGTTATACCATTAACTTAAAGACTGTTGTAAACTTCTACTATTAATGCCACTGTTTCTTAAGAATGATTTTTTATAAAGAAAAAAAACTATATATGTTGGATGCTACGCCTTGTTTCAATTCAGCATTTATTTCTTTTTCCAATTGGGGTCGTCCATAAATTATGTCATACTATAAGGGGGAAGGGGGGTTGGTGGTTTTGTGACGACTCATACAAAACTTGCTTCTTAAAGGGATCCCAAACTCCCAACACATGTTGTGTTCATATTAAAGATAATGTTAAAAAAAAGGTTTGAACCAAATTTTTTTGATTAAAAATAAATAATGAATGCATACCGTGAAAAAAAAATGTTGTTGTTTTTGCCGAAGCTCGTCTTCTCCATTTTTTTCAACTAATCGGAGTCTTCAAATTATGTGTCGCAATCTACAGTCTTTGGCAATTCCTTTAAAGCGCGTTTAATTCATAAAAGTTTTAGTATTTGACGTCACGGTAGACTTTTAACAAAAGAAAAGTGTAATTAAACTAAGCTGCGTTTTTCTACTGTAGTATTTTTTTAACATACAGCAAAACAAATTTATTTGTATTATTTTTCTAAACATGGCAAAAAAAATTTGTAAAAAGAAAAAATGATAAATTATATTTTATTTTATAGGAGCAACTTGTTCTTTACAGATATCTTAATAATTTTTCGATTTATATATCTTACTTATATTTCTTTTGTTTTTAAATTAAAACAAATATTAAAGCTTTACTTACGAATCTTATGATTTTCATACGAGTGTTTTACATTATATAGAACGTTTTATATACGGTCTCTTGTTTTTGCGCAAGAGAGCGCAGTATTATATATTCTGATTCTTAATTATTTTTATTTAAACAATGGAAACTATTTTCTAACTTCTCTGGTTATTTTTACGCTATGACAATTTTTTGTTTTCCCGTTGAAAAAAAGTATTTATTAACAATTACTTTCATAAACAGACAGTATTAATTAGAGATATTTAATGAATTGTTAACTTTTTTTATTATAAAATTTTTTTGATCACGCTGATTTAATTTAAATTGCTAAATTTGCTGAATTGGATACGTATAAAAAGGAAATACCATTTTATTTTACATTTGATTTTTAATTATGAAATTTTTCAAATGTCAGCAACTCCATACCAATTAGAACCTGTTAAGATTATGAAAAAAAAGTAGAAGAATACACTAAACAATACAGTTGACAGTAGTATCAGATATGAAAATTCGTGAAAGGATATGTGAGATCCTGATTTTGCATTAAAAGTACAATTAATTGCAACACAAGTCGGCATTATAAATTTTGATTATAAGTTAACTTGTTCAATATTTTATAACCATCAAATAAAAAACATAAAGTTTGTATATTTTTGCCCGTTTTATACAACTAATATTTAACAAAAATACGGACAAATTATTATTAAATAATGCAATAATTAACACATTAATTAAAGGCAATAATTCAAGATAGATGGTAATTTAAATTGTTAAAATGTCATAACGCGAATTAAAAAACATATTATATTTGGTATTTCCAAATTTGTGTCGTAATTGGCATTTATCTCTTAACATGAAAAATTAAAAATTTTTAAAAACACAATTAACAAATACAAATTTTCAAGCTATTTTCTCTTCCAATTCTCACTTATTCAAAGAAAATTTACTATTAAACTTTTATTTCTCTCATCTAAAAAAAGAATGAGTGAAGCAAAAAAATATATATATTCTATACAACTCTTACTCATTCAAAGTTTAATTGCGCAAAACTTTTCTTTCTCTTTTGTTCTACTCTTTTATAAAAAGAGCGCCCGATGAAATAAAAACTTTTCTTTTTTAACATATAATTATATATTTTGAGATAAAATTAAATTAGAAATAAATCAACAATGAGCAAAGCAACGAACAGGTTAATCTGGAACTATTTTGATATTTATGAAAATAATCAATATAAACAACATTGCCAACAACAATTATCAAATAAACAACACAATCTCGAATAATTTTAGGGGCATTTTATTTTTATTGCTTAGTCGTTCTAAATAATAAGTAAATTTAGTTCAAGTTAATAATTCAATATTTACAGTTGCAATAGAATAAAGAAATGGTGTTTAATACTGAACTTTTTATTTAGTTATTTATTTTTTTACCTACATTTGTTATAAAAAACTTTAGAACCCCCGTCATTAAAATAATTTGTTTTAAATATATATTGATTTACGTGATTATTCAAACTAATTTTTTTCGTTTGACTTTCCGAACTTTATGCAAAGCAAATTGAAACGAAATATCGTCTAACCAAATAAAAAAGCTGTTACTAATTTTATACGGGTAATTAATGTAAAACAATTTTTGAGATAATAAATATTCATAATTTATAAACATTAAATATATGGCGCAATAACAATTTATAGCAACAAACCAGCATAAAATATTTAAGGTTTTTAATATCTTTTTAAATATTAAAAGTAGAAAAAAAAAAAAAAAACTAAACAAATAATCAAAAAAAATTCGATTAAAAATAAAAAAAAATATTTCTAGAGTTTAATTTATTAAAAGTCTACCGTGACGTCAAATACTAAAACTTTTATGAATTAAACGCGCTTCAAAGGAATTGCCAAAGTCTGTAGATTGCGACGCATAATTTGAAGACTCCGATTAGTTGAAAAAAATGGAGAAGACAAGCTTCGGCAAAAACAACAACATTTGTTTTTCACGGTATGCATTCATTATTTATTTTTAATCAAAAAAATTTGGTTCAAACCTTTTTTTTTAACATTATCTTTAATATGAACACAACATGTGTTGGGAGTTTGGGATCCCTTTAAGTGTTATGATTTTGTCAAGGGGGGGGGACATGTCAAAAATGTTTTTGCGTGACGTAATTTACGGACAACCCTCTTGAAGTATTTATTCAACTAGTTCTGTTACAAAATTCATTAAAAAATCTTTTAATTTTTTGTTAATTTTTTTTTGTCTGTTCAACTTGATAACTTTAAAACATGACATTCATAACTTTATTCTATAATTTGAAAGCATGACAGATCTCTGAATCCTATAACTCCATAAACTCTAAAACAAGACAGGTCTCAGAGTCCTATATTTTTAACTACAACTTTAATATTCTCGGGGATGAGGTTCAATTCTTGAAAGATATTTTTACAGAAAATTTTATAGATATATTGGAGATAATAGATATAGTAATAGTGCTCAAGGCAACAATATTACTATATCTATTATCTCCAATATATCTATATTCACTATATCTATTATTTCTATAGTTTACAGAAAAGTAAAGTAGTTATTCTAGTTACTTTAATCAATTTCACACTTGTTTAATCAATTTCTTGTTTTATTTATTACAATTAACAACTCTTCACTATTATTGAAAAAACTTTTTGTGTAAAATGTTCTCTGAACTTAAAACTATTTGCAGATATCTGAAAATAAAAATTATAAAAATTTAAATTACTATTTTTTATTTTAACATTCAAAATATTTTTACTTTATACATTTTCACTACTTATTGCTATTGGTTCAGGGTTTTAGCCAGGTTGTTATCCAGGTTGTTACAACAGGTTGTTACAACAGGTTGTTTTTGGTTGCTATTGGTTCAGGGTTTTAGCCAGGTTGTTATCCAGGTTGTTACAACAGGTTGTTAGCCAGCCTTATGACACCATGTTATATGCAATATTTTCAGTTGCTTGAAATTTAAATTTCCAACTTTAAAATAACAGCAACAAAAAATTAAGCAAATGTAAAAAAAAAATTTATGTAAAAAAAAATGTAAAAAAAAAATTTTACACAATGCATAATATTACAATTTAAAAAAAAAACAGTTCCTGTTAAGCATTGCACTCTGCGCAATATATGTGCATATATAAACAGTTTTTTGTTTAATCTTTTTTGCACAAAGGTAGACAAATGGGTCAAGAAAAATTTTTGTTTCTTGAATTAATTTTTCTTATTTACCTAATGAAACATGTTCATGCGGTTTTCTCTAATCTGAAAATGAGCAGTAAAGTATCTTTAGTTTTGTTCATTGAATAGAATGTTTTGAAAAAATGTTCAGGCTAAATATTTTGGTTAAAACAAAATAATAAATTGTAAAAAATATTTTCACATTTTTATAGTGAATTTTGTGAAAATTAGAAAGTATTTAAAATAAGTTAATGATTTTATATATATGCACATATATAAAATATATATATTTGTATATATATATATATATATATATATATATATATATATATATATATATATATATATATATATATATATATATATATATATATATATATATATATATATATATATATATATAAATGTATCAAGCCTTCCTGGAAAGCGCGTGCGGTCGCACACCTTATGCGTCTATGCCTAAAGTAATTATTTTAAGACAACTTGACAATGTTTTTATAAAGTAAGCGCTTTAACAATTTGCAGCAAAATAAAGCTATAAGAAACTAGAGAATAAATCAGCAATACACGATTTTTTTTGTATAAGCAACTCGTTTATAAGCAACTGAACTCAATGCGAAAAAATATTAAGCAACTTCAGTTCTGAACAAATGTTAACATAAGCAACTCATAAATTGCAATTTTTTTCTCTGCAATGTAATGACTTCGTTTAGATAAACGATTTCAAAAGAAAGTAATCACAGTAGTGTTGTTGTTGTGTATGTTGTTGACAACGCTGTTAAGATCATGAGTAAGAGAAAGCAGACAAATTTGTTCAACTTTGGTTTTACCAA